GAAAAGAAAGGTCCAAATAAGGGGAAAGCAGACGGAAAGGGAGAATTGTGCCGACCAACGCAGAAAGAAATAAACGTATGCAAGTGCCAACCAGCCGGAAGAAATCATAACATCGTTCTCGAGGATCCTTCTAGGCCCCAATGCCCCCCCAGATACGCCGTAGGCTCTCAGCCTCTGCTGCCCAAATCAAAATGCCTCCCCCTCCTTATGTATGACTGACTGAACTCAAAGAATATCTAACTTGCGGCCTCGCATCTCCATAATCATCGTCAACTCCTCCATGCGCGGGACGCGACAGAAGAGTATTAATCATCAGCAGTCGTCCATGCGTATATGCTCACACGGGCGATGCGCCATGTTTTGGGCGCTATTTCGATTTCTTTCTGGAGCCCATCCGGCCGTCGACATTTTCGTCATCGGGGCTCCATTCCTCCGGGTGAAAGTCAGGGTTCCCAAAGTGTGCCCTGTTCCACACACTGTTCTTGAACGTGCTTGTCGTTACCTGGAATGTGGGTTCTGGGTATGACCCCTTGCTACCGTCGTATTCAAGCTGCATCGGGCTGAAACGTATGGTGCATTCAGGTGAAGTAGGGACCACTGAAGTCGGTGCAGCCATGATTACGGGTCTTGTCACTCCCGCCGTTGCTGTCGTGTGTGGCGAAAGCGGGGTGGACGATTTGGGGAGCGAAGGAGGTGCTGGTGCCACAACCGGCGGTTGTTGGGTGGTAGATTGGGGGGACGGCGTCGTCAAGCTGTCACAGTACTGTTGTGCCCAGGGGGCTTGTGACTGCGAAGCGGGCGAGAATGGCTCGCCCAGCGGGTCTGTTGGAGGAGATGCGAGAGGCGAGGCCAGAGGCATCACGGGCCCCGAGGGGGGGCCGAACCCCGGAAGCATGCTCAGCATGCTGAAGTCGCCCGTGGCGAAAGCGCCCAGGTCGGTCTGGGTGCTCATTATGCCACCACCATTGTCATACGTGTTGACCCTGTGAACCTGAATTGACACTGGGTGCTGCGGTACCTCGACGGGCAGCGGTGGGGCACGATACAAGATGTCGTAGTGCGTGGGACGGAACAACAAGTAAATGATGGCGCCAAACTGTGATTCATCTTGCTCGTTGGCCTCTTCGGGGAACCGGTATTTGTTCGCATGGGGGCCAGGGCTCCGGTCGAGATAGAGAATCTCCAAAACAACATTGATTGGCTTCAGGAGGATGTCGACAAGGGCCGTGATACCCAGATGCTCGATTTCCTTATTAGGAATGTCGACTGTGCTGCTGCAATAGCCTGGGATGCCGCCAGCGTCGGCAATGAATGGGTCGTAGGTCGCAGCATGCATCTTGAGAAACATCCCAGCCAGCATGCGGAAGTAGTAAATGATGCTCTGTGTCGCCCCATCATCGTTCCACCGTTGGAAAATCAGCTGATGCGCAATATTCGGGTTGCCAATATTGTCCGCGACATCTTGGAGCAGCGTGAGAGCTTCGTCGGCAAAATCTTCCCAGTACTGGTAGCCGGCAGAGGGGAGCATCTGATTTAGGCCGCGTAACCGGGCTAGTTCACTCTCGACTTGGCTTCTATTGCCAATCTCTATGAGTTTCTCATAGTAGGAGAAGCCAATGGCTGTTATAAGACCAGTCAGTCAGCAATTGATTCATCTCATTTATCTTGATCTCGATCGAACAGGGGGGCTCAATTGGAGAAAAAACGTGGGGGCCGGCAGGAACAATCTGACGAGCCAACCCCATGAAGCATTTGCCCACGCCGGCCAGCAACTCGAGCGATATCTGTCCAATGTGAGACGGCCCTAGGGGAGCAAGCCGGGCGGGATGATGCAACGGTGCACACGGGAGAAGGAATTTCGAGACACGACGGGAGTGGTGAAGAGAGTGGTAAAGATGCGGGGCCTGTCTCATACTGACGATCCATCGATGCAGGGATGATCCGTCTACAGATTTCATGCCCTTCCATGAAGGCACGCCGGACCTCCGAGAGCACCCGCGACATGGTGGAGATGAGTGCATTTATTGTGAAGGCAATAAGTGAATGAGAACGACTTACCCCTCCAACCGCAATTGCCGTCACCCTGTATAGGTCGGTAATGCTGGAAAGTCTGTGGTAGATTCTGCATGAAGATTGAAGTCAGCGCTGTTGTCTCGCACCAGCCCCGAGGGTCCTCAGTGTAGAACGGCACATACATAGGTCTTCTCGACGAAGCTTGGATCAGCTTTCTCATACTCTTGAGTGATGATCGAAGCCGGAGTCTTCTCGCCAACCAGGGGGCCCTAGACACATTTGCGGGCTGTTAGCTGTGTGGTCTGCCTTTGATGGGACGCTTGCGAGTGATCGGTCTGGCAAGTCGCCGGGTGAGAGGGAAAGGGAAGCGGATTAGAAAATAGTGGTAGCCCTGGGAGATCAATTGCGCGCGATGCAGTACGTCCGTGCGTGAGGGCCAGCGTGCATGGGAGTGGTATTTTTGTTCTTCAACGAACCTCAAGATTTGGCTGGTAGTCTTTGGCGGCAGCCTGTTGCGCCGCAATGCCATGCGGATCCGAGTCCTCCATCTTGATCAATACCGGCGGCTGATGACGCTGCGAGACAATGTGTTGTCGCTGGTGCTGTTGTTGGTGGGGCGGCGGGCGAGAATGGCCCAGAGGCTGCGGTGAGCTGTAGGCGAGACCTTGAGAAGGAACACCAGGCGCAGCGCCAATTCCTGTGGCCCCAAGACCCGGTGCAGCTCCTGCGGTCGTGGCTGCAATGGAGCTATGGGCAGGTCCTCCGCTGGAAGGGATATGGAAGCCGAGGTCGAGCCTTTGGCCTAGCAGGCCATAAGACAGCGCCGTGGCGCGCGAAGGCTGAGGCGGGTTCGAAACGGGCTGTGGCGGCGACGGGAAGGCGTACGGCGTCGATGCGAAGCAGGCGGAGGCGAAGGGCGTGGGTTGAGGCTGGAACATGCCTCCAACTCCAGTCGCACGCGCGAGGGTCGAGAGTGAGGGAGGAGAGAGGGAATTCGACGGCGACGCGAGGTGGGAGGAGGAAGGAGAGGTGTTTAGAGTTCAAAAGGCTGGACTGGGAGGTCGTGTTAGTTAGTGGTGAAGGCGGTGGAGTTGCTTTTGGTGCGAGAGGTGAGGTGTGGGTGGCAGTTAGTGGCAATCGGCGGAGTGATCACTGGCTTGAGGGTGATCCCGGGAGGGGGACTGTCCGCTGTAGCAGGGTCAGGACACCAGAGCAGGCCGGTCAGCGGCCGTAGCGTGCGCTAGAGAGCAGGTTTGGGACCGCCTGAGTCCCAGTGCGCGGGAACAATCTACGATGCTCGGAAGCGAGGTCTAGCGCTGTGGGAATCTAGCACTGGCTAGCGGGCTGTAGGTGACCTGCTTAGTGACGTGACCCTGCTAGCCTCTAGGTGAATTAGTGGATGCGGGGCGACGGTCTTACCCGCTTTGAAATGGAGCCCAATCTTGTGGTCTCAGTTGGTGGTGCAGCAGTGCTCGCCTGCTCTGCTTGCCGTTTCTGGTGGTGGAGGATGTGGCGTGCCTTTCTTTGGAACCGAATTGACCGAGGCCGTATGGGACCGTGTGGGAAATAGATGTTCTGTGGAGGAGAATTGTGAGCCGTTCGGATCCGGAAATCGAGAGGGCGGTCACCCCATGGGAAGATCAGAGCGTGAATGGAGTGCATACCGGGAGGAATCACCTTCCGAATGTTCTTCTGCCAATCACTGCTGGTCGTATCTGCAAATAAGTGAAAATGGTATGGCCCTAGTAACGTCGACGAATAGCGGAACGAGCGTTGCAAGACTGATGATCAGCGTTGGTGTCGAAAGGTGGGCTAATGGCTGGTCGAGGTTATGATAGGTCAACTCGGGCGAATGCGCGATGTTGGATTGACGAACTCCGGAGCTCGGGCGGTCGGTCAAATATCGTAGGTAGCTGCAGGTTGTAAGTGACGGCTAGAATACTAGGTAGAGATCGACGACGGCAGGCTAGTGAGGCGACGAGAGGAGGCAAAAGAAAATATATTCCAGAAAGCGCTTGCTCACTGAGATGTGCTGGTGAAGGAAAAAGAAAAACGAAGGCCACGGAGGAAATGGAGGATTGGAGGGCAGCGGGTCCGAATAAAGCAACAGCGAAGGGTGGTGTGATGCGATACTGGGCGAATGACGGTGCGCTGGATGTGTGGATGTAATAATTATATGTATGTAGGTATATAATGCAGTTTCAAATCCCAACACAGCACATTCCCTGGATCCTGGACCCTCTTTGATGGGGATGAGTAAATAAAAACGAAGGCTGACGATCAGGCCCAGCGCAACGGTTCGAGGTGGTGAGGAGATGACAAGGGACTTCTGTGGTGTGAGGGTGGCTTGCTTGTTAGTGCAAGATGCCAACTACAAAGGTCATGACGATGGCCAGTGCAGCTATTTGGGAGCAAGCAAGCCGAAGCAGGTGATGGGGGGAATATCGGTGCGGCCAACAGCGGGCAACGGCAGCATCAATAAAAGCAGGGGAGCTCGTGCTTCTTTGCTTGGCCTCGCTCGCCTCAAGGGCAGCCAGGGCCAGAGGGGCCGTGACCGAGCAAACTGGAAAACTTACCTTGGCAGCCAATAGTGCCAAATGTATTGTTCGAGACGTGTGGTGGTTCAATTACTGGTGGGCAAGTCGAGGCAGGACAGGGAGGGGAAGAGAGAGGAAGAGACGAAAGAATGAAAGGAAGCGGGGAGAGGGAGAGCAAAGAAGGTTTATGTGATGGCATGGAAGATAGAAGATGAAGAAGGAGCGGACGTCGAGCAAGTCATGTATGCGAGCAGCCCGGACGGGGTGTGTGCGAAGCTCTTCGCTGTGTCTCGCTCAAGGGACGGTATGCCCCGTTGGGACAGCCAGTCTCGCTGCTGCACTGCAAGGAAGGCTCAAGCTTTGTTTTACTCTGCTCGGCTTGCCTGACTGTGCGTTCACAGGTCGATGATACTTGACACCTCTATCTCCGGGTCCTCGAATTGCCGTCTCCTACCCCATCCTCCCGCCAGTACCACCTCGAGCAGCGGCACTCATCTCATAAATCAACACCCAACTGCGGCCTCCCGTGTACAGAGCTAGCAGACCCCAGCTTGTTGGGTCGTCACCATAGGGCGCCCTCTCTTCTTCCCAGCACTGGCCTCGCCCGTCTCTGTGCCTCATCTCCTCATCATCCCGGCCCTTCTGCCCTGGCCCTGACCTGGTACGTGCTACAAGATACTTGCTTGTGTTACACAACCACCAAGCAGCCACGCCCCTCCTCCATCTGCTGCCCTCAGTCCCCTTTCCCTGCTTCGGCAGGCAGACTGGAAATTGGGTGCTGTGATTGACGGTCACCCTGCCATTGTGGCCAGCCTTCTGGGTATATGCCTGGACGGCAGAATGGGCTCTCAGAAACACTGCCGGTGCTACCTACCCTACCTATCCTAACCCATCTACAACATACATACTAGTCGTACACACATCATGCTGACAGGGACCGGGTGCAAAGATACGATACGATACCCTGCATAGGCATACATGATATTACTACAACGTAGGAAGGGAAAGGACTTCGCAGAACCAAGCGGCAATCGCTCACGTTGTTAGTGGATGCTGGTCGTGGAGGAGGCCTTCACACGTAGCCTGGCTGCTCTTCGCGACCGTCAATCCCACGGCACTAAGGTATCATCAGCCATTCAATTGGACCCAGGCCCGGCCCATGGACGGTCGTGTTATGTAATGCCGGCAGAAGCCAACAAGCAGGGCAATGGGAGAGGGCAGGGAAGGGGAGGGGGTAGAAAGGGATACCAATGGGAAAAAGAAAAGAGAACCAGTTCCCAGCAGCCATTGACGGTGACCGCCCAACAAGCCGCACACACCAACTCGTCGTCAGTCACAAACGTTTCTAAACGAGTAGTTCCTCGTCTCCTAAGTGCGTACCCATCACCGCACATGTGCCATGTACTTGGCGTTGAACAGGTCCTTTGCCGTGCTCTGGTGGGATCGTCACGGGAAGGGGAGGTACCTCTGACGGTGGAACCAAGTCACTCCCGTGAGTCCCGTCCATCCATGTCTCTGGCCGCTGTCCATCTGCACGGAGGCGGCGTCCAATCAGGCAGGTAACGCAGGTCAATCAGGAGACTGGAGTGACGGGCCTGGCGTTTAATGATGGTAGGTGGTACGGAGTAAGCTCCAGGCCCAAGGTGGGCGTCGATCAGATCGGCAGCGGATGGGAAATGTCCACAACGCCTCTACCAAGGCTCCGAGAATCCCGTTTTTTGGCTGTGTGCTGTTTGATTGTGCGTATAGACCTGTTTGCTTTATTTTTGCCATCTGCACTAGTCGTAAGCAGGTAGGCAAGGGGATCCCTCTCTGAGGCCTGCCACGTGTAGGGCCAGAGTTGGCTGGAGCAGACTTGCAGAAGCAGCCTCTGACGCTGCTGCAGGCCTCTCACTGGCCCCTGCACGTTGAAGTTGGGTGGATGTTTTGCTGGCTGCTGAGTGGCTAGCGCTTTGGTTGGCGTTTGCTTATGAGCTTAGCTCACTCATTAGCTGTGCGTAGCTTTGCTTTTGTCTGCTCGCATCACATTGTCTTGTGCGTCGCATGAATCTGGGCTACTTGCTTTGCATCACTTTGCTTTGCCAATCTCCATCGTCAGGTATATACATCATCTTTGAGATAGCCATGCTCGCGGCCTGACACATCGCATCGGTCTGCCATGCGCTGCCCCAGTTCCAGGGTCCAAACCCTCCCGGCCATTGTCGCCCCTGCTGAGTACTACTTACTATCGATCAAGTATTGATATGGTGCTTGACTGCCGGGTTCCAGGCTGTTTGTTGGCCTGCTTCACCGCGTCCATCCACCAGCCCCTCCACATCACCGAGCCATCTCAATATCAGCAGAATAAGCCCTATTGCGCGCACATGTCTGTTGGGGCCGACCAGTCCTGCCTAGCTCCGTCCTGCCATCTACAGCACAGCAGTCGCATCACACGGGATGATGCTGTACGTACTTGGCAGATCTCGCAGCGCCGCGGCTGTACCCCAGACTGTCCTGGGGCCGTTGAGGGCGCAACAGAGCACCGCATCTCGTGCTCGTAATTGCGCAGGCGATACGACGGCAGGCCACACGCTTCGGACAAGTCGGCGACGGGCCAGATGCTCCCAGCGATGACTCGATGCCCTCCCCCCTGCCTGTCTATCCATCCCATCGGTGCATTGCATCCATTCATCCACGCCTACCACGGTCCAGACTGTCAGTGCTGTAACCTCGCCGTTCCTTCGACTGTGATGTCTCCGATGGCAATGTCCGCCTTTCCTTTCCTTTCTTTTGTTTCTTTCCTTTCGTGGCCCCGCCTCATGTCGACTCAAATTACCAACTGGCTGGCAGCCGGTAGTGTTTCAGTCGAGCTGGACCCCTTCCCGCACCCATCCCATCCCATCACCGTCTCCCCACACACAGCATAATACATGTATCCGATCATCATATCAGGACTGGCACCCACTGCAGACGCGACTTATTACTACGTACATGACGCACCGATATGACAAACCGGAGCTCGACGGCGTGCACCCCATCCGACACGACTCTGCGCGCGCATCTAGATGGAACATGCAGCGGCCTTGCATGCGTGTGCATGTGCGTCCATGTAATGTATCCAATCTTCGCCGTGACCGCCATATGAAGGATGGATGCAGTCGGCACGTAGATACACACACATACCCTGGACCTAGGCATGTCCCGCCCTCGTGCAATCCAATAATGCCTGAATTATCACCATCACCGGGGCCGACCGCCATGCTAAGGGCAGGGTCGCTTCTTAACATAATGGCGGGGTTCCAACCCGGCCGAATGAAGCCCAGACCCTGCCCCAGTGCGTGCTCATCGTGTTTGATTGACTGATTCCCTGAGGGATGGCTGCTGGATGGACGGTCGGCTGTTTTGGATCGATAGATTGCCATTGCATGCCCATTCCATTCCATCCATGCCCGTCCAGCCAGCGTTCTCCAGATGGCGCCACGTCTGTATCCGCATGACCGCGTTGCCGCATCAAGATCGCATTCAGCTGTTCCTCCTGGGCAATTAGTATCGACCGCTGCCTCTGTCCTTGGCGCTGGCCCTCCTCCTCCTCAACTCGCAAGCAAGCCTTAGAATAGAGCATGGGGTGCGGCAAGTAAAGGGTCCCAGGAAATGTCATCTCGTCCCATCCGCCGCAGTCCAGCCCAATAACCCCATCCCCCCGTGCCGTCGACTCGTCCCATTCTCACCGTCTCTCTGCCTGCCGTGTCCGTCCCGCATTTCTACGTTCGTCTTCATTTGTAGACAAAGTTCCGCGCTGCCGACTTTGGTACACGGCAGCCTCGTCGATGGATGGAGTCTCTCGCTCCGCCTCCCTTCCGTCCCAATACAATCCCGCCCCCATCACCACCTACATACACGCGAGTTGCATGTATGTATACGAGTAGATGACATGACCTCGCACATACGCATCTTGCCGTCTCGTCTGCCTGCTCCCCAAATTACACGCACAGTCGCATCACCGCAGTCACATGGGCCAATACTTCTTACCTTGCTCCCCAGGAGAACATGCTCCTCAATTGTCGCCCAACGGTTAATGGCGATACGACCATATCTCGCTTCTCCTTCTGTTCTTGCTCCCCGCCTCCATCCCATTGGCCCCCTCACGGCTCTCTCCCATCTCCCATTGATGTTACATCCCCAATCAGCCTCCGCGTACGCACAGGCTGAAAAGCCCCATTGAGCGGAAAAACCCATTCAGTCGGCTACGGTGCCCTCCGTTGACTCTGGACCTGGTCTGGGCCTCGTTCAGCTACGCAAGTTAAAAAAAACAATAAAATACACGGATGGCACGGATCCCTGCGGACGGCTACGGGCATGCGTTGAATGTTAGCGACCAGGGCTGTTGCCCCTCACTTCACCGAGCATCTCTACTTGGTAAGTTGGGTTATGTCTCACTCGCACTTCGCCATGGGCACGGCTTGGCCCTAGTGTCTCGATGGCCCTTCACTGCCGATCGTCAGCAGCTACCCGCTGGCTTGTCTTGGCCCTTGGCACCTTGACACTCTCCGCCGTGGCAAACACGGGCATACATAGAATCTGTTTGATGTAGGTAGATAAAGGGTCGACCACTCACCGACGCGCTTCGACGTGGCTCCACGGGTATCCAAGGCATTCCAAGAGCCTTGGCTATCCGCCCACGTTTCACATCCTGTTGTTCTGTTGTTCATTTTTTTTTCTCCGTACAACGTGCCTCTTCACATGACTTATCCCTCTCGCTTACTGGGGGACGTGAGGGGGGAGGGGCCGCTGTAGAAAACTTGTTCCTGTTCACTCCCCCAGCAATGGCAGATAAAACCTCCAACGTCGTACTGCGTTCTGGCAAGCCGAGCTAGAAATCAAAGCAATTGTCTCCGATGCCCACACTTCAACCAACCACGCACAAATCACGGAATACCGAATTAGCCTTTTTCCCAACTCCTCACCTGACGCGATTCGATGCTTCTGCTCTGTGACATGCATAACCTTGGCCCTGCACTCGACAGTCATCAACCAGCTCCAATGCTGCAGTCCATTCTATAGCCCCCTCCCCCCGCCCTCATTGAACCCCTGCAACCCTCCAGAAAGACTTCGACGATACCCCAATTGCGCTGCCTTCATTGGCTCGGTCCACGCCGTTATGATTTGCCTTTCTCCAGCTCGCTACAAGCTCTCGAAAAGCCGCACATCTTACCTCTCTGACTATTTTACCCGTCCGCTTTTACCGTGCCCCCTCTAATTCCTATCTCCTTCGCTTGCTCCCACCCTCCCAAGCTGCCTGCCATTCCTCATCGAAGCTCATTCATTCCCACCCTCCACCACGAGTAAAATTCCTGGTCGTAGCCCCCATGCATAATGGGAAGGGAGGTCTCCAACTAAACCCAGCGTATGTACGCCCCCCTCCATCTGCACCTCTCCTGCCTACTGCCAATCACACTCTCCCGCCGCCTGCCCTCTCGAGGCGTCCTCCACCCCTCATCGGCCCCTCCCTCACGCCCAAAGCCCAGCCCCTTGGGATCAGCTCTGTCGTGAAACCACATCCTCTCTCTCGCCCCAAGGACGAGCCACCGCACGTTCTGCCTGTGGGTGCAGGCAAGAGGTCGAAATGCATTGATCGACCCTCTCAGAGGCCGCCTCTTCCTCAGCTTCTGCCGGCAGGGAACCCCTCCCTCCCAGGTGACACAGGAAGCAAAAGTAGCGGAGTGGAGGAGGGGATGGAAGAGGATGGGAGGGGTGTGGTGGCCGTCCAACAAGAGTCAATGAAAATAGCCAGGAAAACCTCCCCATCTGGTTGGGCAGGCGAGTTGCATTTTCTTTCCTTCTTTTTTTTCCCTTTGGCCATTCATTGCGTCTTCTCCACCTCCCATTCCCGACACACACCCCTCCCTTCCACTTCCTTTCCTTTCTTTGCGATCATTTCGATTCGACCCTCTCATCTGCACACGAGGACGTCCCTGATGTACGCAGGGCATGGGCGGACTCGGGGAGGGGTCTCTTGGGCTGCGGACCCGAACGATGCATCATCGTCATCAGCGGGGTTGAGTTGCTAGGTAGGGATATATGCATGCTCTATTGTTCCATACAAAGCTACCTGTGCTCGGTATCCATCTATGTAAAAAATAAGAAGAAGAATGTCCCATCGCCACCGGTAGGAACAGACATCGTTCAGGGAGGGGGGTCCGGATTACTGTATTGTCGTGCATCGCTTTCCGGCGCCCACGACTGTCTCCAACCGAGCTGCATTCTGCATCCCGCTTTGCGATCGGGTTGCACATGGACGGCCGAGGTCTGACGTCTGTGCCCAATACATCGTCCGATTACTACCTTCCAAGACCTGGTACAATGAATGAAAAAATAAAGAAACAAGAGATGGTGCTTCCTCATCTCGCCTAGCGCATATCCCAATAATGCTAATCGTCTGCCGTTGCTCTGTATCGTACCATGCTTCTTCGTCGTCATATCATCATTAAGAAAGAAAGAGGAGGCACGTCGGTCCATCCGTGTCGCACCGAGCGCTGTGGTGGACTCCCCATCTGCTCATCCTTGCAGTCGTAGTTGACGTACTACCGTTGCCACGAACGCTCGTGTAAGTGGTTCTGTCTGCGAGTCGTTGCAAAGACAGATGCGCTTATGTGAGATCGCTTCTAGGAGAGGAAGGCCTGAGTCGTTGGGTATGTGGAGCAGCCAGGCCAAGAGGTAGGCGATTGCCGCCTTTTGATTTTCTCCATATAGCAAAAATGAGTTCCGATACCACCATGACGTAGCCAGCTCCTCATGCCCAGTCTTTCTTCAGGTTGGCTTGACTTTCTTGCCTTTGGCTCCAGGTCGACCAAATCCGTCTCGCTGCCTCATTGCCATCATGTGCTGCATCTCGTCGTCGCCACCGTGATCTATCACACGGAACCCATCTCCATCTACGAATACGGCAGTGAACATCTCCGATATCGACGTCGCGAGACCCTGGAGGGCGGCGATACGCTCGATATCCGCCTCGGATGTGATCTCGAGAATGCCTAACTGCTGGTTGATGCGGCCCTTGATCCTGCCTTCCACGATCAGGAACCCGACAATATCCTGCACCTCGGGTTCCGAGATTTTAAGCTGCTTTGCAAGCCAGGACAGCTTCATTCTCGTGTATGGGGCGATGAGCTTGACAATGCCCTTGGTTCGCATGTTCCTCGTCACCTCGTCAATGTTCTCTGCGATGAATGGGTCTGACAACAGATCCGGATTATTCTGCAGCGTCCTCTGGTAGCCGTGCACATCGTCGCGCTGGTACGCGTCCACCAACTCTGTCATGGCCGAGATTCGAGGGTCATTTCTGTATGGCTTGGTCTCTTGCGAGTCAAACGGATTGATGTTCGACTTCATCAGCATGGTGGTAAGCAGAAGGTACTTCAACACCTGAATACGTTGCAGTGAGCCAGCCTCGTCGTAGTTGCGGAACGACTCGAAGAAGTCGCTCTGAGCCTCGTCCCAGTTCTCCTCGCTCATGTGCATCTTTCCACCACACTCTCGGATAATACCCATGATACGCGGGTGTGGGACTGCCGATTTGACTTGCAGGGCGCGCTGGTACAGCGTCTTTAGCTGTTTGTTGTTCTTGGTCTCCGCCAACATCTGGATCTCCAGGGCGTAGATCTCCAGCGAGTATGTGCCTTTGCTAGGATCATCACTCCCATCCTCCATCTGACAGGCCTTATGCAGCTCCCGCAACTTCTTCGTGATGGCAGAGTAGTCCTTGCGATCAAGAAGAAGCTTGGCAAGTTTGACATTTGTCTTGAGCCAGAGCCGTTCGTTGTTGGTGCTCTGGAAGCTCTCGAGGGTCAAGGAGTAGAATCTTTCCACGCATCGTACCGCCTCAGGGCTCTCTGCACCCTTCTCGATGAAGTCCAGTATGTTATTGATAGATTTCTCGGAGTAGTTTCGTGTAACAGCAGACTTGACGTACGTGAGCAGCTGCTCGTAGTGTTCGGATGCCTAGCCATGGTGGAAGGCAAGATTAGCAACGATTCTTGACAAGAGCAAGGTGTTCAGCACTGGCCAATCAGCCCGACTGACCTTGTCGTATTGCGCGAGTTTGAACTCCAGCTTAGTAGCCTGTTTCAATCCTTTGAACCCCCATTCTGACTTTTCCTCTTCGAGAGGCGGGATGCCCAGGAATTCGGCAATGGCATCTTCGGGATCGGTCGTCTTCAGTTGCTTCGCATTGTAGTACTTGTTCTCGATATCGACATCGGCAGACTCGTCTTCGTCGTCTTCCTCGTACTCGAAGTCATATCTTGGAAGAAAAGTTAGCTAGGCTGCCGCAAGGTACGACGCATTCACGGGCAAGGAAGCTTACTGCTCCTCGTCGGACTCCTGCATGAAATCCTCGTCGTCAGACATGATGGGAGTTGGTCGTGGGGATTAAAATGAGGATGATAAGAAAGCTTTCAAAAAGTTTCTGGCAGAAGACCTCTTTACACGGAGAAGCAATGAGCAGATGCCAAAAACGAACCCCAGACTGCGAAGAGACGTGGAGCTGATGGTGGTCTGGAACTCGTCGAGCTCAAGGTGGGGGTGTGTTGCCTAACTCTCCGTTGCCAGTAACAATGCTGAGGTAATGATCGGGTTTTTGATTTTCCCCGCCGCATATTTGAGCTACCCTATAGTAGACTTCCCAACTTCCCACGTCCTGGTCAGGAAACCTCTGGATCCTGGTTTTGTACCATTTCGTGTGATTTACAAATGCTTTTGCGAGGATGACCTCAGAATAGATGCTTCTACAATTGACGAATTTAGATTTTGGGCTTATCTCGTCTTGAATCACGGAGCACAGACTTAGTGTGTCTACAGATACTCAATTTCGTGGTTATTATAGAGAGGATATGGACCTTGAGCCTAAAAATGATGTGTCGAAGATAGAATGGATCAGATACTACGGACAGTTTGATCTATGGCAAATATTGTGGCAAATATTGGGTGTTTCTCAAAGATTGCTTAGCCATACCCAAGCCAATCCGCCGAAAGTTCGGATTCACGCTGATTCACCTCAAGAGAATGGTACGATGGAAGTTGGAAAGTTCATAAAGGTCATCATCGCCTTTCCCTCCTAAAATTAGACGATAATTACTATTGAAGGTGAACGATTCTGGATATTTCCTGGGTAAAAGAAACCCGTTGCCACCAATTTGCTCTACCCACCCTTCTGTTCCATACACCGATCGCCTTGTTAGCTGGCCGAGCACTCCAGGTCACCCTTGATATTCCCTTGTCGCGTAGCATTAGAACTCTCCCTCACACTGGTCTTATTGTTCTTTATATTCCGGAATGACAACTTTGGGGGAGCCTTCAAATGTCGTCGCCTATGATGCGTTAACTGCCCCCCAGATCTAAGAACCAACAATAAGGCATACGTTTTCGGGCTATTCGCCAATGTTAATAGCACTAAGTCATAAAAAAGCCAGCGTAGAGTAGTAACTAAATATTTTTACCTTCTTGGCCTGGAACAAACTGTGTGTACTGCCATAAATTGGGCTCAATGTTTGTAGCACGTGCGAACAGCTGGCGGCGGTTGTTCGCAAACGCCTGGCGCCAGCCCACTTCAGTCCCAACAAAACGGTGCAAGCAAATTGGAAACACTTTCTTGTTTTCTTCACTTCAATCTCCCTCTTATTTTTCTTCACCCGCATTCGATTTCGCCTCGCTCAGCCTTCCTGTTTTCGTCGTTCTCAGCAGCAACATCGGTTTCTTTGCCCTCAGGCTCACATTACTCAAGTTTCCCACGGTCGGACTTTCCACATCGCGCATCACGTTCGTTTCAAAACCTCGTGCAAAATGCTGCCAAGCGCTCTGGTCAGCGTCTACCAGCAGTACAAGGCTGATACCGACGCTATCGCCGGATGGCTTGCTCTGACAGCAAAAGCAGCCAACTATTCCGACCACCCGTTGTCTCCTCCTGCCACTTCCACCGGTCGATTGAAGGGAAAAGCCAGGGCGTTGGCCAAAGAACAAGCTTTGAAGCCCAAGAAAGTAATTCTGCCCATCAGACTTTTCGTTCCTCTTGCCAAATATATCACGTCTCTCAAAGCGCCTCGGATTCTCGTCCCCCAATCTGTAATCAACATCACGGAAAGAGTCATCCGCCAGAGATCAGTTTTCAGTTCTCGACTTAGCCACCATGGAGTCAATCCTTCCGTTGAAGGCGACCGATCGCACTCCTACTTTGTCGACATTCTCCAGCAAGTTGTTCATCTTTTTCGCCAAAACGCCGCGCAGTCGCCCACGACCTCGGCGGAGAGCATTGACAGTGACGAAGTTGGCAACCGCTTTGCGTCTCTGCAGGTGGAAGAGCCCTCACAAAGGTTCCTCAATGCCAACAGCGCTAAGCAGCCTACTGCAGAGAACAATATTGTCTACGAAGCGGAGCCACAGAACGATTTGGATGACGCCATTGCGGCGTATGGAATGTTACTACAGGACCTCAACAAGATCCGTGATGAGATCAAGCAGATTTGGCTGAGCTGTTCCGAGGGCTCCATCGAACTGACGGCTGCTGCCATTGCGACCAATACCGGCGTTGACCTTGCCAGATACTTGATTGATCAAGTACTTCCCATCTTTCAACTGCATGGGGGTGTTGGCGAGGTGGCCGAGGCATTCGCCCTGGAGTTCATCCAGAAACAAGACTTGAATGACTGTGACTTGGACCCTGAGGAAATTGATGAAATTGTTGGTGAGATGATGATTGTTGTCAACGATTTCATGACAAGGCTCGCGTGCTGTCGAGATTGCGCCGATAGAAACAACGAGCCCTGGAAGCCTACGCCGGAACCCATCCAAGAACTGCTGGACAAGATTGAGGACGAAGTTGCGTCGGATACTCAACTCCTAGAAGAGCTTGTCAGCAACTTGCACGCTGTAAATTGGCTGGCAAAGGGGTACTTGAAGGTGGATGAGATCATGAGTGGCCTTCAACAGATGGAAACGACAAAGACGGCTCCATTCTATGTGTGCTTTGCATTGCAAGTGACACTCGACATCCACCACACTCTTGGCGATTGGTGCCTCGAGCCCGCGAAGCATCTTGATAAGGAACTCAACTTCATGATTGAATCCATCGACCAGTTCTACCAAGATTCAGCCAATATGAGTGAGACGATGTGCAAGACTTGTGATTGCCTCAAGAGACTTCAAAAGGAGATCAAAGATTTTCAGACAGATCCGACTATTGAAAGTAGAAAGGAATTCTACAATCGTATGCACCACGCTTCTGAACCTTCTGAAGAACGACATAGAAGCATGCAGCTATCCCCAGTCCTCTGTGGGCTAACGATTTTCTACTTCCGCGCCTCTATGCACGATTTGGGCTTCGTCGAGTTCGGACGCCAGTACACCATCAAGCACGCCGTTCATCTGTACAATGCTCTCGTGAAGGAAGGGTTGATGGAAAATCCCTGGGGTGACATGCAGCTGGCCGAGAACTTCTATGGGCGAACGAACATCTTTGCAGGGCAGAAACCTGAGAATACGAGAAATTACATCAAGCAGCTTATGATACATGAGGGAATGACCGTCAGAGGACTGAGCGAGCTATTCGGTATTCTGGAAGGCCACTCTACTTCTTGCGAGGAGCCAAGAACTCGCGGATACCGCCAGAAGAAATGGAGGAAGTCCCCGAACCGTGGTGCTCCCGTGTCTGCTATTTTTATCGAACGATACTACAATCGATCAAAGAGGATTGATTACCGACCCGAGGATGTCCATGAGATCATCTCGCGTCGCCGTAGTGACGAGTCACCGCCATCTCCGAACAAAGGTGGCCGACACTCACCTCATCTACTTCTTCAACCACTCGCGGAAGCACTCACTGAAGAAAGCCTTGAGGTGGCTTTCCCCAGGTTGTTGATGCACAAGGTTTGTGGTGAATTTTTAATGCAAGTCAAGAATCAATGTGTTGAGATTATAGAGGACGAGCTTCGCAAGAAGTTGAGAGGGCGAGAACTCGTCATGACCATCTTGTCTTGGCTCATCTGGGACCCAGTCTTGGGAAAAGAGTTGCTTTCTAGGGCTGCTAGGATTGCCAATGAAATTGTTGCTTCTGGGTCTGGCAAGAGACTTGTCGATGTGATGGAGACGAAATTTGACTTGTCCAGGGAGCAGCTGGAGGAAGTTTGCTCCAAGTCAAAGTTAGCAGAGGATTTCTAGGGGGAGGACCAAGGGCTTGAATCTTTATGATTGCTTTCTCATCATGCAATAGGCAAGAACTTGAGCGTATCTAGGTGCCAATAGGGTTAATTGTTAGACTAAATGTATGGTGTTTTGTAGTACCCTGGCTTCTACCTTGTAGATCTGACCATCCCCACAGAGCTAATTGATATACGTAGTGTTCCAAGCCATCTTCTCTTTATTATTATCAGGTGGTCCTTTTAATCTGACTTCGAGTTTGAAAAGCCGAGAGCAACGATCTGCTAGCCAAGCCAACTGAATCACCACTTTATTTAAGCCCGATGAATAAAATGGCCTAGACCATATGCACGACAAACGTTATGGGTTATTTAAGGCCATTTGAAGCCACGCGTTATAGAGATTGATAAACTTGGAATGGAAATACTTGCCAGAAATATTTCACCATCAAATCGTGTCTTTTGTTACGCACTGGGACTGATACTTCATCGCCTTTTATTAAAAAAAAACCTTAAGTCTCGCTATACTAGACTATATTATCTTTTTGTCGAGTCCCAAATTCCTTATATAGTATAACCCTTTCGATATTTTCTTGGTACAGCTGAAAGCATGGCATATTGCATCCTTGTCTGGACCTTGTTTAAACTAAGCTTGATACCAACCTCTTGTGCTAGGTTCAACCTGGTTGATCATTTTGTTTTGGATGAGTCCACAGTTCGCGTTGTATCGGTAATTGCAATGATTTTCTCGTGCAACTTCTTGAGAAGGACAGTAGTAGCTGCCAAGAAAGCTGCCCAAACAACGCACAAAACCAGCTTCTTGAAGGGAGATGCCAGCATAAGGCCAGGATACGGGTACCTATATGAGGCATTATTAGTATCGGTACTGGGAGCGAGGTCGACACAAGCTTACCATCCAACAATCGAAAAGCAATATTCGATCCAGCCCCAATAAGAAAAGGCGATGGCCAGATCCAAGACAAAAGCCGCGCGCCCATTGATTGGCCATGGCGGGCTCAGAATCAGCAGATCGGCCAGCAGCATGATAGTTGGGACAGCATGGAGGCCGAGATCATGGCTAAGCGGGAGCTGGTGGCCAGGAGGAGTCAACTTGGTCCTGTCAATAAAATATAAACTCCAGTAGAATATCGTAATGAGAAGCTCAATAGGCGTGGCGCATAGCGATATGTAGCTCTTAGCTGCAAATAGAGGTCGAACATT